CGACGTTGACCTCCGTTCCTCGGAAGGTCTGGACGGCGTCGTGCCCTCATCCGATGTCGCTCGCGACTCTTCGCGCGACTACGGCACACGGTAGCGATAAAATCACGAAATCGGCACGAACGTCGGCTTCACCGCTTCCGCATTCAGAAGCGACAGGAATTTCGAGCCCTCTCGTCTTCGAATCCGGCTCTCCACCTGCGTTTTTAAAGTCCCGTTTTTCGCATCGACAGTCATATCGATCGAGAGGAACGTGCACGTCCGTTCACGATTTCGGACGGAACGTCGGTGAAATTTAGTCGAATACGCTCTTAAGACACGTCATCACGTCGAAGGATGCAACTTGGGGATAAACCATATGGGAGGGATGGAATTCGTGGCGCCGACCCTATTTCCCATCGAACGGTTGCGACTCGGACGAACCCACGTCGGAAGGTCGACGTGACTTTTGCATCGCCGTACGAGTGTCGTCCGAAAAACGAAGCATGCCGACGGGGGAACCTCCGTACCTGCCGACGGATCGAAGAACGAGGCGAGAAGAAGGCTCCCGTGACGTACGCGAGGAAAGAAGGTCGCACGTTGGGGTTCCCGTGCGTTCGCTTCGTTCTGCTCGTCCGCTCGACCCGTTCGTCCTCCGGCCGACGGATGGTGGCGACTCGGGCGGAGACGAGCGAGTCGTACCCACGCGACTGCGCGTGCGACAGACCGATGCTCGCCTGCCCGAGTTGCCGAGTTTTCGATTCTGTTCTTTTATGACGCTTTATGCCGTCCGATCCCATTCGACTCGCGCGAGGAAGTCCAATGAATTGCATATAGATCGGTTACTCACCGGGCCCATTGCTGTTCAGTGGTGAAAGTTTTATATATATATATATTTTTTTTCTCTTTTTTTCCTTTTTTTTTTCCTGAACGTGTCGGAGATTCTTACAAGTGTGTCTCGTTTTGATTGTCTGCGCTATGTGATTTTTGCTATGGTGTGCTTGTTGAAACTATGTGCTATGACATATTAAAGTCCTTTTGAAATCTCAACGATTGTTCTCGCGTTTCCGAAAAACACACAGATAGGGAAAGGAAAGAGACGACGACTTCCAAATGTCGGGATTTAGTGCATCGTCTCACGATCAGGGGTGTCGGTCCCGACCACTGAGCTAAGTCCCGACCCGACACGCCTGCACAGACGAGCCCCTTCGGCATTAGACCTGCCCGAGACGATACGGACTCGCGTGCCTCGGTTTCGTCGAGTCGGAGAAACGCAGACGGCCAGAAGGGCAAATCCACGAATCCCAATCTCTCTCCTCACGAGACGTAGCAGGAGCAGACGCCGGTTTTCCTACTCTTCTCCGTTTTTTTTTTTTTAATTTCCTCCCTCTTTTTCCCGAAAGATTTTCCGTTCGTTCGCATCGCCCGTGCATCTAATGGCAGATAGAGAAACCGAACGCACCTGGACTCGGAAACGCTGCCACTCGGAAAAAAAAAGTTCCAGGAATAGGCATGACAGAAAAAAAACCCACTCAATATGAAGCCACGGGAAGCTCATGACGTCCAAGCTTGCTTTTAATGTAAAAAATGAGTAAATAAAAATAATTAATTTTCATACGTCTGGTATTGCGTGCTCCGACTCATGGAGCCTTCGTAATTAGCGTTTAATCATATATGTATCATTGGAATCGTGACATATCCACCACATATTTAATTCAATACATGAAACTATGGTTAGGGCAAAGCGGATCGCCTTACATGCAATCGCTAGAAATTAAAATGAATTTCCAATTAAATGTCAGCAGTAGTAGTTTCTTTTTAATTTCTGAACAGAATCCATGCCGTTCAAATATCTGAAGAAAGACCACAAAAGACTTTCATGGATTTAATGCTTTCAAAACGTTAAGGAATAGGAAGTCAAAAGAAGACTAAAAAAAAAAAAACAGTTTTAATGATTCTTTTGCCATCGTTTAGCTGATCGATCGAGTTTCGGTTTCGAGGGAACTTTTTCCTGCTTTTGCCCCGGGGGAGGGGGAGGGGGAGGGGGCTATTTTCGCTTTTCTCGATTCTGGGAATCTTTTTTTTTTTTTCTAGGGGAACCTTGGACGCGAGTGTGGCTTAATTTTCCCTCAGCTCCAGGGAGACGAAACATCGAGGCACGATCCTATTTGGAAATGTATTCCGTTTCGAATAAACTCGCCCATTGCACGAAATGAAGTTGCCCAAGCAGGACAGGAATGATGAAACCGGCCCCCCCCCCCCCCCCCCCCCTCGCCTCATTAAAGTTAGGCCTAAAGACCGAAAGACTGCCTTTAGGTTACGCCAAGGCCTACCTTTTTCTCTTTCAATAAAAACTCAATTCTCGACTTACTTAATTCTCAATTAGCCAGATGAGGGTGAAACTATGGTCTTCGAGACATTTCGTTGAGGATGTGTAACGTGAGGCCAATCGCAGGCCTATGTATACGTTCAGGAACCATTTCTGAGAGGACATGTAACATTTCACCGAATAGACATAAATAATTTTTTTCCTAACTGTATGTCCTCATGGGTGTATGTGTCTCCCGAACTTGCACAAATGTCCATCGTGTGGGTTAACTTGCATTTGAAAGAAAACGTGCAAGTTAACACGCATGGAGAAAATCTGACAGGTTCAACTTGCACGGAAAAGTCATGGGAATAGGAGTGCCACCAGTGGCGCATTTCACAAGGGCTCTGGTGCCCCCTCGTAGGAAATAAATATCTCACCTTTTCTTATTTTCTCACTCGGCACCCCTACGCCTTTGGCGCCCCTACTCAGTTGCCCATGACCCTTCAGCCAAAATACACCACTGAGTGCCACCTTTGAAGGAATGCTCATAGTTGGCGTCATCTCTGGAGGGAATCGCGAACTGCAGAGTGGTGAACGCGTGGAATGCGTTAGATGACGATGTAGTGGCTGCCCCGCGCTGTGACTATCTTTAAAAAGAAAAACTAGATGCTTTCATGGACAGGCAAAAAGGTGGGGGGCAATATTGACGTTCGGTACTAGACAGTAAGCAACTAGGATAGTCAAAAAAAAAATATATATATATATATAGCTTTAAGAGGGCTAGGCCTACCCTAAAATTAAGGAACGCTCGACCTCGACACTTGATATCGAAATGGGCAAAATCGCCTCTTGATATCACTAACTCTCTTGACTCTTGACTTGACTCTTGCTCCCCCCCCTCATCCTCCTACCGCCATCTCTGGAGGGAATCGCGAACTGCCCCCCCCCCCACCCTCCTACCGCCATCTCTGGAGGGAGTCGCGAACTGTTCCCCCCCATGTTTTTTGTGTCATTTTTGACGGGATTAGCGAACTGATTCCTATGTTCTTACCTGGTTTTCATTGGTTCAAGTCTTTCAACCGTCGACTTACCTAGCCAATAAGGCCTATAAATGTCCACCTCGGGGTCTTCAAGACGTCTCGCATCTTCATTCAACGACATTAGGTGTTTACCACAACCTTGGGGAGTTGGATTTTCATATTTCTTAGAGCGACTCTGTTGACGGGGTGCGAAGTATGCATGTTTCGTTCCTCTACATACTTTCTGAGATGAAAACGAGGAGGTTGAATCTATTAACGGAAAGGGGTTGAAGAGAGGTAAAAGGTTTTGCCCCACCCTGTATAATTTGTTTGACCTATTGGGAACTCCTGCCCGATTCTGAGGCTTTGAATAGAGGCTTTCCTTGCCCTTGTTTGAATCTCTTGTCTTAAAGCGTCAGAAACGCTATGCTCTGATTAATGGCAATTCGCCAACAAGCAAACTAGATCGACGAACTTGCGTGCCTTCTCCACACTAGAAGGCTTGGATTCTCGAGAGACTCAGATAATGCGTTGTCTCATGCTCAACTACAGTTCCGCTTTTAATACTGTGACTGTCAACATCTCGATAAATTAAGGGAGACAAATTCCATCCTGGCTCGTTCACGATTTTCTAACAGAGAACAGCCAATCATATGGTGAAGACATCTCCTCTCCTTTGCCATGTCGGACAGGCGTCCTACAAGGTGGAGTTCTATGCCCCTTCCTCTTCACGAGATAACCACTCTTCGCTCCTTCAAAGAGGTTGTAAGAATCATCAAATACGCTGATAACACTGCTATAGTTACATATATAAAGAACGATGGAGATCTTCGGGCGAACTCTGAGGAAGTCCGAAGGATTGTCGATCGGTCAGCACAAAATGATCTAATTCTCAATTCCGATAAATGTCAAGAGCTTGTTTTCTCTAACACCAGTTTAAGAAAGGTAGAAATGCTTCAACTCCTCAACGCGAAACTTGACAGTGAACGACTTCGAGACCACTCCGGTTCACGAAGCAAGATATCTACAGTACTAAACCAGATGCAACTTAGAAGAGTCACGTTTCTAGCCAACCTGAAGAGTGATGTGTCTCACCCGCTGTCATCATACTATTGTAAATGTTTTCGCATGGACGTGGTCCAAACTCGAAAACAGTTTATACACCTAAAAGTGAGACCAACCAAATTAAAAAGCAGCTTTCTTTTGAGGGGATAAGAAACCAGCTTCCTGTAGAATTGTGACACCAACAATTATTTTGTTTTGTTTTGTGCTGATGGGTGAATGAATCAAGGCTAATAAAGGGTTACTTCATTAATCATTTAAAGGCTAAAATCTCAGTCAGGAAAGTTGACTGCAAGGAAAATGTAATGAATATATTTTTTTTTAAACAGATACACCCTTTTTTCCCTGCCTCAATATAGATGCAGTTGAATTCCTTTGAATCTTTCCAAATCGTCCATCTCATTTCATTAAAGTTAGTTACCATCCATAAAAAACCTTAGGCCCTATCCGAAACTTATTGAATGAAGGTAGCCCGAATCCTGCAATGACTCGGAATTCCGTACCATCACCACGAATGCTGCATCGTTCAAAAGTTCCATTTCCTATTTTTGATCCAGGACTCATTAACAAATGTTGCTACAGTCTCTACAAAGCAGTGAAGAGTGATGGAAGGGTCCGTTTCACTCATTCACTTATTTTTTTTTTTTTAGTATTATCCGTGATGATATGAAAGTCCCTCCAAATGAAAGGGATTTCCCATCCTCCACAAGAAAGATATTCTCACCAAATCTTTTGAATAACTTTTTCCCTTCCCTGAAATACGAAAACGAAGAAAGGAACGTAAGGAAGCGGAAAACACCGTTGTGGGAAAGTATCCACGTGATGAGCATCTGCCACGCGGCTACTTCCTCTTTGGAATGGCGAGAATATGGTGGCCACCGACGACCTATTCCTGGATGGCGAAATTCATATTCGTATACGTGCCTATAAAAATTGTATATGTGCCTATCACAACAAAAATTGCTTTGAATTTGAAGATTGAAGCTTCATCTGATCAGCCCAATGGATTGAACAGTGGATCGATGATGAATAGTTTCTGCTGAATTTGAGACAAATCGATACCTTCGGTCAAAGCAAATGCTTAAAAGTTTGGCAGAAACCTTTAATTCATGCATTTATGAAATAATGGACCAATAGGTTCTAAGTTACTGTCATTCCCATGAAAAACGAATTACCATATTTGTTTTTTTAAACACCGTGTAGTAAACCCATGCCAGACCTCGACGCTGTCGTCTCGGTCTGGCAACCAGTCGATCCGAAAACCGTTCTCGGGGAGAAAGACGGGCTTGAGCCAAGGTCTTCTTTTCCATCACACTCGGTCTATCACTTGCAATGAGATCCTCGGCATGAGCATTTAGACGTTGCAACTCCAGCGAATTTGCCTGGAAGTGTGAAGACACACCTTAAAATCTCGGCTGGAAAGAGCTGTAATTTCCACCTCGACCCCAACAACCGTAAAATCGGGCCCATTCCAACACTACCCAAGTGATAATTTTACATTTTCAGCAAACTTTGGTCATTGAAAGGATTCTCAACACGAAGTCAAACGGCACCAAAACTTGCGGCAAAGAAACAGTTTTAGGCGCATAACTGGCTCTCTCAATTTTCAGTAATGCAGGATTAGTGTGGATGAGAATGGAGTCACTGCCATTCATTTCATGGGCTGTGATTAATCAAGTGAGATTAAGGTGATATTTGACAGGGAGATTTTCTTCCCATGCCGCAAGATGGCGCTGCGTGCAGGTAGAGGGCGCTGATATTGACCGCAGCGCACTCTCTGGTAGCGCAACTATATACTTCCTGTCATTTGGGAAACTTGGGAAAAAATCAGTTTATGAATTATGCCTATGAATTTCTCTGCCAAATATCAGCAGCAACCAAGAGTTCTTCCAAAAGATATGGTCGAAGATGGATTCTGACTAGTAACAAATTAACTTGTTTTGGTCGTGACTTTGAAAGTTAGATGCTGCTGATGTTGGGCAGAAATGTTCTTTAGTCTATGACCTATTCATTCCCTTGCCCGGCACATATTCTTACATATTGACAGAGATCGCAGTGTATTCCATATGCGAAGGTGAAATGTGATGGACGAAGAGGGTTCGGCATACAGAGTTTCCATTTTGGTAATATATATCAATAGTAACAGCATATCAACGTGAGACATTAATGCTCTGAGAGTTTCCCCATCTCTTGGTGGGAGTGATGTGAATGCTAGATGTATTCCTTTTTTTTGTAGCCAATTCCTAATCTCAATCTCTTACTTTTGCAACCACAGCGCCACCTGTCAACATGTAGAACCATGTGCCGGGTAAGGCAGCGAAAGTTATGACCACACCAAGTTCAATTGTTACAAGTCAGAATCCAATTTTGACAATATCTGTTGGAAGAACTCCAGGATGCTGCTGATATTTGGCAGAGTTTCATAGGCTTGAACGGATTTTTTTTCCCATGGATAAAATTGACATAAAATTGACAGAAAGTATATAAGTGGCGCTGCGGTCAACATCAGCGCCATCTTACGGCATGGGAAAAAACTTAGCTGACTCATGAGCCTCTCTGTCAGATATTACCTGAATCTGACTTTCACTTGAAAAGTTAGTCAATGAAAATATGGCGGTGGCTTAATAATAATCCTATATCACTGAAAATTGAGATAGCCAGTTATGAGCCTAAACCTGTTTCTTTGCCCAAATTTTGGTGAAAATCTGAAATTATCACTTGGGCAAGTTCCCTTGTGAGTAGCAGCTGGAAAGTACTGTACAATCCAGATTGGCTCGAAGATGCAAAGTCATCGGTGGAACGAGAATGTTTCTGTAGGCTATTCTTCACGTATTGGAAAGCAGCTGGTTTGAATAGTTGTGCTCTGCTAGAAACATCCAGTTAGAATTTTTTATCCAGCTGGAATACAGCTGAGATTCAGTTACTTCTGTAGATGGACCTTCGGCAAGTACAGCCTGAAGAAGCATTCTCGTTCCACCAAATGAATTTGCATCCAGGAGCCAATCTGGATCTGATAGTACTTTCCAGCTGTTATAACTGGTATGGGCCAGATTTAACAGCTGGGGTCGAGGTGGAAATTACGGCTGTTTCAAGCTCGATTCCAGCTGGAGGATCCGTTGCATAAAAATTCTAACTGGATATTTCCAGCTGGCACAACTATTCAAACCAGCTGCATTCCAGTTCGCGAAAACCCAGCTGTTTGGCAGGAGTCAGATTCGCGTACTGCATCGGTCCGGAGTAAGAGCCGAAATTCTCCAGCGCCCCATTCAAGAGGGGGACATGGGACTTCCCAACTGTGGGATATTCTTTAAGACAGTTAAAGCCTCGTGGTTGGGGAACTCCTTAATTTCCCAAACTCATATCCGATAAATTACAGGGTGTCCATAAAGGTATGACCAAAAATTTTTTAAAATAATTAAGTGGCAGAGAACTCCGTACGAACTCTCACCGAAACCGGCAAAACAATAAATATTAAAGGCCCAAATCCTGGTAAAACGCAAGCCTACAAACATCATCTCGGATCCTTCATTGGACTTTGAACCATTGCACTTCGCCCAGCCACGCAAAAAATAGACTAAACAGAATTCGAACATCCTACGGCCGATGCAATTATCTTCTCCACAAATGGAAGATGAAAGAGGATCAAAGCCAAGGACCATCCAAGGACCTGTGGCTTGAGTGTCAACATTCTCACAATGTTGTAATAACATTCTTAGAAATGTCGCAGCAACAAAGTGAAAACGTTGAAGCAATGTTACTGTTACTTGGAAGAAGCGATTAACTGTATATCCTACATGGAAGTAAACATGTAATTGTGTTGCCCCAGGAAAAAGAAAAAAAAAGTTAAAATAACAGATCATCTTGCATGTGATAGACTATGCACGTCTCATTTGCAGCATTCCTGCTGTATGAAAACTTGAGGAAAGCTCAAAAATGAGAACCCCCTCTAAGTTGGCTTATTGGGTGAATTTCATGAAAAACAATACAAATACATTAATTTATAATGAACTGCTTTGCAATAGACCTCGAATCATCGAATGGAAATCGCTATATAAATCACCGATCTTCCATACCAAGAAGATATATATTGGGTGAATTTCATGAAAAACAATACAAATACATTAATTTATATTTAACTGCTTTGCAATAGACCTCGAATCATCGAATGGAAATCGCTATATAAATCACCGATCTTCCATACCAAGAAGATATATCACACCCAATAAATCAATATAATCAATCCCTCTTCTGAGGCACGGAAAGAACTGAAACATGGATCACTTAGCTTCGATCCCGAATCATCGAGAGTGAATTGTTAAAATTCGGCATTTCTAAAGACAAAAGAATACATCACATTCGGACAATGTATTATTCTCAAATGCATCGAAAGAGCTGAAACTTGAGTCATCTAACCACGATCACAAATTAGCGCAAGAAAATTGACAGACATGGAAATGCATCACAATTCGAAAATGTGATGTGAAAATTCTCCTGAAGTGCATTAAAAATGCTGAAACCTGAATCATCTAGACCAAAATACGAATCTTCGCAAGAAAATCGCAAAAACTCGGCAATCTCACAAACATGGAGAATTCATAACAATATGGACGATGTCCCTAGTAGCACATAACATTGAAACATCATCGATTCAGCATCCGGACGTTGAAGCAACGTTGAGTCAACGTTGTCAGCTGAATGTTATGTGCTACTAAAGGTAGCACACTGTGAGAATTCTCAAATGCACAGAAAATGCTGAAACCTGAATCATCTAGCCACGATCACGAATCAGCGCAGGAAAACCGCTAATACTCGCAGATGTGACAGGACAATGTATCACAGTGAATCCTCATACGAGTCAGATGGCTCAGGTTTCATCTCTTTCATTGCACTTGCGCATTCGCGCAAAGTGATATATTGTTCGAATGTGATGTATTTTCATGTTTGTAATATCTGCGGGTTTCATCGATTTTCACACGCTAATTCGTGACCGGAGTTAGATGATTTAGGCTTATATCACTTACTGAGCTTTTGTATAGGAACTGCGCAGTGAGTGCGATACATTTTAGCGATTTTCTTGCAAAGATTCGTGATTAGGAATCCTCAGTAGAGGATTCGCACATACATTGCCCGAGTGTTATGCATTAGCCATGTATGTAAGATTCCCGAGTTTTTGTGATTTTTCTGCGAAGATAAATGAAGTCATACAGGTTTCAGTACTTTCGGTGCATTTGAGAATTCGCACAGTATTATATATTTTTCCAGTCCCAAAACCCTCTACTAAAATAAGCAATCTTTACTGAAATTATTTTCTCCATCAAAGAGGCATCAGACAAGATGATCATTTATCTGGCTTCTTTTCGATCTCCTTAGAATCATTCCTCCATTTAATTCGTCGTCAGCCAGGATACTCTGCATTTTACACACCCATGGCTCCTTATCCTCATATTGTTTCTGCATATGCTAAAGATATCACAATCTTCTGGATCTTTAAGTCATTCTATGATTGTTTTGATATATATATCTTCAAATGCTTCATTAAATGTTCATGCAAAATAAATGATTCCCCTTCCAATGGAAGAAAACGGGTCTGAAATTACTAGGTGTATATCTTGGAAAAACAATTTGAAAAAAAAAAGAATTGGGAGGAAGCCGAGCACAAAATCAATTCTATAATTGCAAAATGGACTCCTCGTTTCCCTCATGATCGTGGACGTGTTGAGATAATTAATCGTCTGATAACTCCAAAACGTTGGCATACTCTTGCATGTATCGAACCTCCACCTGGATTCCTCTTAAAACTTGAAAATCTTTTTATTGTATTAAACATTGGCTCCATCAGGTATATCTATCCCGCAAGTTTCTCCTTGGCGCACAAAATCTTGTCTCCTTTGAAGCTAGGTCTTAATAGCTTGAAGCTATCTCCTTTCGCCTTTCTTTTCTAAAACGAGTTCTTACCATGACAAGCAGGCATCATCATTTAACATCTTACTTTTTTTTCATTTGCTCAGCTTGCGACTTTCTTTCCGGAAGTCTAGAGGCCCTGACTTCTAACTTCACTACACATGAAACAGCTCTGACACAGAAACAGTTACAGAAACAGCAACACTTTGGTTTTCTTTAAACCTCAGTTGCAAGACAGGATTTTTCTCCCTTTTCTCTCTCTTCTTCACTCAAACCCAATATTACCTTTTGCTGCTTGGGAAGAAACCAATTTTTTCCACACTACAAGATATACGCAATGGTACCTCATGGATGAACCCAGACACCATACCAATTACAGGAAAAATAAACCCCAGGATACACAGATCTCCATGGACCTACATACTATTAGGAAAAAACTACTCCTCCTGATAAAACAACACAAAGCACTCAATTCATTTCC